CTCAGAGTTTATTTTAGTATACATACTAATGGCTCACCTGGGCCAAGCATGCGAAACGAATTGTTTGTATATTGTGATGTTTTTTTTTTTTATTAAAACAATATCAACTAGTCACGTTACTATTTTTAATATATTTAAGATACCCTGTACATATATTCCCGTGAATATTATACGTGCTATATGTTTGTACTTACATACATACATATTTATGTGCTTACGACTATAAGTATATATTAGGAATGTTAATCCCGGGATCCCGGATCTCGGACTTTTTAAGGTCTCGAAAATCCCGGGATTTTCGGGATTTGTAATTTGCACTGACCAACTGATGGCAACAATAGAAACTCCTTTTCTTGACCAGTATTGGCTATATTTCTTTTTGTTTTATAGTTAATATTTTTTTATAAATGTCTAGCTCATTATACATATAGCACCGCGCAATAGTAAATTTTAAACACAAATATCAATATATGCGCGAAATATTGAAAATGTCATTTTAATATTTTATGTTTGAAATTGCGCAATATTTGTTTTTGAAAAAATTATATTAATTAAGGGATTTTATAAACTGGATAACATCCTCGAATTTCGCTCTTCTAACTTTTTCAACTTAAAAATTACCTATTCGTCCTTGTGAATCCAAAAAATTTAAATTCTTTTAAAGTCTAAAGAAATTTCCTATTGCATTTGTTACCCATATTTTTATTATACATTGCATCGGATTTTTTTAACAATTTTTGGAATTAATCATATCTCCGAAATTACAGACTCCTTCAAAATAAAACCTGCGGCCAGGGAGAAAAATAAAAAACGCCACTTTAAATAAAAAAAGTAGGTTTCAAACCTTATTATTATTTATTTCATGGTAGGAGAGCTTTTCAAACAATATAGAAGCAATTTTTTTCGATTCAAGCTGTTGAAAAGTAATGAATATCTAAATCCCGGGACTAATCCCGGGATCCCGGGATTGTGACAATCGGAAAAAGCCGAAAAATTAACATCCGTAGTTTATGTACAAAGTATATTTTTGTATAGTATACATACATACATACACACATACATATGTACATATTCGCACATGCCTGTGACTTCACATTGTATACTGTATTTATCAATTCGATATTAATAAACATTTAAAAACTAATTTTAATTATTAGTTGTATATTTTGTAACGAAAGTACATGCGAGTTTGTACATTAGATTGTACCAACTTTCAAGCAAACAAAAACAGTTCGCCGTACACCCCTCAATCTTAAAATATTTTTGCTAGGCAATTTAAAAAAAAATCTAGGAGCCTTATGTACATTTGGCAATACATTTTTTTTAATAGTTCTACCGGAATATAAAAAAAAACTGACTTAGCTAGAGATTAATGCTTTTTGGCCAACTTTACAGAGCCGTTTTTGCAACTGTCATCAAACTCATCCGTCTTTTGTAAGTCATCAGTCTTTTGTAAAATAATTGTCAATTATCACAGCGATCGTGAAAACTCTTTACTACCCTGCAGTGACATTACACGGAGAAACAGTGGTTTCGTTAAACAAAATTAAGTTGTTCGTAATTTTCGTGGAAACCACAAAGCCGAAAACTATGAAGAGTTGGTCAGCAACCTTTTTGCAGCCTACAAGAATATGGGATGCAATATGTCGCTCAAGATACATTTTTATGTACACACTTTTAAATTTTTTCTTGAAAATTTGGGTGCTGTAACAAATATTTTTATTTTTAAACCAAAATCTAAAAATTAAAATTAAATTAAATTAAAAAAGATATAAAATAATATAAAAATTAAATGAAAAAAAAAAACTTTTTTTATCAGTAAAAGATGATTTAGAAGCCGACCATCCGAGACTTCTATTCACTCAAAAATGGCTGGACAAATTTGGATGAAATTTAGCCCACTGATGGTTTATAACTCTGACTAACATTTGATTTCTGATGAGGGTTTCCACTTGTACGGGTAATAGAGGGAGAACAAGGTTCACTTCCGTCGCGGGTGGGATCAACGCACAGCTTTTTTTTCAATGAAAGCTGATGAGAATTAGAAGAGATTGGGCGAGCGCAATTTTTGAATTTTTGTTGCTTTATATTACATTTTTTTAGTGCTAAATGCAGAGAAAGTACACATTTAAAAAAAAAAATCTCTTGTACATACGTGTTAATGAATATTACATGATAAAAAATAGTTGAAAACAATTATAGGATCCCAAAACGAAAAAAATAGTGAAACGAAATTTTTAAATTTGTAAGTAAATAAAAAAAAATAAAAATTTTAAATGTTTAAAAAAAATCACCAAACTACATGCACACGTTTACACTGAACCGGCCTTTTTTCTTCTTGTTTTGTGTGTTTCTTTTTTATTGTAAGCACCTTTTAGCAAGCTACGCTGATAGTCTACGCTCATTGACACTTTTATTTTGAATTAAACATTATAAATATATATTTATTTATGAAATAAAAGTGCGCAAGCGTTTTTTTATGTGGTTTTAAACGACAACATAACTAAATTAGTCAGAATCTCAAATTATTATTTTAAAACATTAATTGCTGACTCATTTTTGGAAAAAAACTCTCTAATATCCATTAAAATCGCTCTAAAACCTATTCAGCAATAAATTGGATAAATGTTGTCAAAAAGGCTAATAATTTTAAAATAAATTAAAATAAATTATTGCAGCTAATCCAATAAATTAATTTTCTAAATTTTGTGCGTAAGTAAAAGTTTTTATTATTTTATTTGTCACCTCTTACTAGTTCAATGGCGAGATATTGAGGGCGGTTAATGGCCTTCACAAATTTATAAACGTACACTTACCTCTATATGGACATACATATATAAAGTATATAAGTGCATGTGTGTATGCAGAATTTTTATAGATGGTAGAGTTGTTTATATTCGAGTAATTAATATTTATCTGTATATTTTATTATTTGTATGTACATATGTATTTAAATTCATACCTACCCAGTCGGAAAAATGAGGAGTGCTTCTAAATGAATGCTTTCAGGCAGGACGTATTCAATAAGGCCTTCCCTTTTAAAGAATTTTGCTCCACCTCTTAACTCTATTTTTAAAGTAGTTTCATAAAAGTGCATTAAAAATGGAAGTTAGGGGGTTAAAATTCTATTATAGTATTAAATAAATAGTTAACATTTAGCCCTCTGACTTTTAACAGAACGGATCTTCCTAGACTTTTTAGAAAAGCATGTAATTTCGTAAAGCTGTGAATATCTTTGGTACCCTTTTTATGTAAGAACACAATTACTACGTTTATACGCACAGAATAATCGACTTAATTGAAAGCGCATTGACACCGTACACATTTCGCTCTAGTGTTTATACTTACGGCTTTATATCGGCATCAAAGTAACCGTCTTCAAAAGCTAACAAAATAAGCTGTTTTCATTTGGCCTTTTATAAGTTAACATAATGGAAAGTGATAAAAATCTAGTTTTATTCGGCATTATAAAATCGTGGCAAAGAAAAAGAACGATTATTATTAATCAGCTTTTAAATACTGATGCGATTATTTGGAATTTGAGCGGAACAGCTGATCTCCAATTCGCTTTGAGTGA